AACAATTTAATTCAGTAGTATAACAATTACATCTAAGAGGCAGATTTGGTCCAAGGATGTAATCCTGGTACATGTAGCTGGAGGTTGTGTCTATGTTGTGGCAGCGTACACTAATGGAGAGGTTGGTAAGCTTTAGAAGAGGTGCGAAAAATCATTGCATGAATGGAATGAAGGCCTTAATTGCACCAGAGGAGATATTTGAGAACCTTTCTTTTCAACTGTAACGATCCATTCAACTGTAATGATCCATTTATTCTTCAAGAGTATAACAGATAATAAAGAAGGCAAAATGTGTTTGAACTTTTAATGCTTAGTTTGATGTAATGGATGATATATGTTTTGTTATTGAATTCATTTTTATGCCACCGCAACCTCTGCGATGCGGTGGCATATAGCGATTCATCTGTGTGTGTGTGTGTGTGTGTGTGTGTGCGTGTGCGTGTTTGTACGTGTGTTATATATATTATATAGTGAACTTAAAAAATCTTCTTGTGACCACTAGTCGAATTTCAACCAAACTTGGCAGAATTTATCCTTGGGTGAAGGGCTTCCAAAGTTGTTCAAAGAATTTCATTCCATGCAGAAATCTGGGTTTCATGGCAACCAAAAGGAATTATAAGAATAAATTTAAAAAAAATATTCTTGTAAAGACCTAAAAGGCCTAAAGCTTAGACATTTTGCATAAGGCATTGTCTGGTAGATCTCTACCAAGATTGTTCAAATTATAGCCTGAGTGTCAAAATCGGCCCCGCCCCGGGGGTCATTGATTTTCATTATATGTACACTTAGTAAAAACTTAAAATACCTTCTTGTCTGCAGGTACAAGGCTTAGAGGTTTGATATTTGGTATCTGTTATAAAATCAGCCCCGCTCCGGGGTCATATGTCACATAAGGATTTCCTAATATGTATATAGTAAAAACTTAAAAAAAATCTTCTGGCAATTGACAAATGCTAGAGGTTAGATATTTTGCATGAAACATTGTGTAGTGAACCTTTACCAAGATTTTCAAATTATAGCCCTGGGGTCAAAATTTGCCCCGCCCCGGGGGTCATTGATTTTCATTATGTACATATAGTAAAAATTTAAAAAAAAATCTTGTTGTCTGAAGGTTCAAGGCCTAGAGCTTTAATATTTGTTATATGATATCATCTATAGGTACTCTACCAATGTTGTTCAAATTTTGCCTCTAGTGTCAAAATTAGCCCCGCCCCGGGGGTCATAGGTTTTTTCTTATATGTATATAGTAAAAACTAAAAAAAATCATCTTCTCTAAATTGACAAAGGCTAGAGTTAAGATATTTTGCATGAAACATAGTGTAGTGAACCTCTAGCAAGATTGTACTAATTATAGCCCTGAGGTCAAAATTGGCCCCACCCCCCCCGTGGGTGATTGATTTTAACTATGTACATATAGTAAAAAATTAAAAAAAACTTCTTGTCTGAGTGTAAAAGGCTTAGGGCTTCTATATTTGGTTTATAATATTATCTATGGGTCCTCTACTAAAGTTGTTTTAATTATGCCCCTAGTGTTAATATTGCCCAATTGAATTGACAAGAATTGACAAAGGCCAGATGCTAAATATTTGGCATGAGACTTTGCGGAGTAAACCTCTACCAAGATTTTAAATTATAGCCATGGGGTTAAAATTGGCCCCGCCCGGGGGTCATTGATTTTCATTATGTACGTACAGTAAAAAAATTAAAAAATCTTTTTGTCTGAAGGTACAAGGCTTTGATGTTTGCTATATATTATCATCTATAGGTCCTGTACCAAAAATTGGCCCTGCCCGAGGGCATTAATTCTCATAATATACACATAGTAAAAACAGAAGCTAAAACAAATGTTTTCTGAATTGGAGAAAGCTACAGCTTAGATATTTGACATGGAATGTTGTTTGGTGGACCTGTTTTATGATTGTTTTGAATTAAACCCTTGAGCATGTTGGGTTAAAATTTTGCCTTGCCCAAGGGGACAGTGACCCACTTTTTTGCCCTTTGATGTACAGCAATGAAATTTGACCATTTGCACAGTTTTAGTTGTAAAAATAAATTTTGATATCAGGTGACATAGATTTTAATGTGACCCACTTTCTTGTCCTTTGATGTACAGCTATGAAATTTGAACCATGTGCACAGATTAAGATGTGAAGTGAACTTTGATATCAGCTGACCTAGATTTTGACAGTGTCTTACTGTGTTGTCCTTTGATATAGTCATGAAATTTAGATTGTGTGAAATATGACCTTCACCACCAATTCACTAGACTCAACTGCATTGATATATTCCTACTCTGATCTTTTATTTGAATAACAATAAATTTAACCACTAATTTGATAATAAGAATAAGATAGGTCAGGGATCTATGCATTATGACAATCTTCAATTGTATAGAAACAAAAAATATGTTCTTACACTACTATTTAGTGTTGTATGCGGTGGCATAGCTTTTTTCACAAATACAATCTTGTTTCTATTTAAATATGCCCATATGATTACAACTAGGAGAATAAAATGTTTTGTTTGGTCATATGCAAAAGTTATACATGTTCAGCCTCTGTTGAAATTTTTCGGCAAGTGTGGAATATGCTTCCTTGGCATTGAAGTTTCTTCGTGTAACGTCGAAGAATTCAAACAAGTTTTGGCTGATACAAAACTCTCAACAAAATTTAGACTGAGAAAGAATTGACAGAAAACTTCGATCGTTTGGATGTTCCTACAAATACTTAAATAGGTACTTAAGTGGCTACTCTATTTTTCACTCCATTATTCTTCTGCTATGTAAAATTCTATTTATATATAAACCTAACATGATGTATCTCACTGTGAAGTTACTAAGACATCACTAAAATCAATTTTGAACGTTCCGGTTTACACGCAAAATGAACACGTAACACGCTAAAGAAACAAACATTACACGCAAGCTCTAAGATATTAAATATGCAAAACACACGTAAATCGATATACCGGTACGCTAAAAGATCACTAAGCTAATTACTCTCTTGTAAAGCTAAAACGTACGTAAATAGGCAATCAGACAGGAATCTAATACGTTAACATCGCCTCTGGCAAAACAATGATCAAATCATCTAAATCGTTTTTTTTAAATAATCACAGCGAAAGAAATATAATGACATTTTACCCTAAAGAAAAACATATATGCACCAGACTGGCAGTTCAACACATTTTCAATAAAGGTGACACTTACATCGTACATGTGTCCACTGAAGCCTTTTAACATTTAATAAATGTTGTACAATATTTAGAATAAACTTTCATTTTGCATCAAAAACTATTGTCAAACAAAAAAGGAAAGATTCTAGATCAATCAACTTCATGTACCTCATTAGTGACAGGTAGGGAGCATCGTGGAACTCCAAAGATGAGTGAATTGTGTTTGTTTGAAGCATGTGGATTTACCAAAAGAGATCATCAGAAAGCATTGTCCATAGCACTTAGTTATGTGGCATAATGCACTTGATATGCTAAATATCAACATTAAATACCAACGTTCTTCATTTTTATGTTTACAATAAATAATAAAATAAATATATTTATCTAGTATGAGATTAAGTTGATCAATATCATTTTGCATGAACTTTAATTACAGTCTATATTTTTTTGTGATACAATACACTGTGCCAGTGATGTGCCATACAGGTAGCTAATGCATTTTAATCTGTTTTCAACTAGCTATTTATATTGGTTCTCAGTTTTCAAGCATCAATTGCTTGGATTTCGCATACTTTATATTTCAAAACCCCTTATGTGAACTATGAATTTTCATATTTTTGTTTTTATGTTTAGAAATGTTTGCTTTTATTGAAAATACATGCTTTTTAAACTTTTAAAACCTTAATACAGTTTTGCAAACAATATTTTAATGATGAGTTATCGGAATGTAAAATGAGGAACTACTTTTTATGGCGGTTTTGTCCGGAAGTGGAAGTTGTTCAGGAAAGTCGTTTTACGAACGATTGTGGGAAATGTAGCCAGAACTCTTGTAGTTGATGTAAATAACTATCATTATATTGCAATATATGCTTTGTTGTATTACATTGTCGTACGCTAGAGCTAAAATAAAAGTAGTAAACTGTATTCCCCTATTTTCATTAGCGGATTCAAAGGAGAATTGAGGGTACTCGGGGATCTTACCCTTAAAGTCCTGGACAATACTATGAAAATGAATTATTCTATCAAATATTTCGAGTATGAAGGACTCTGATTTAAATTTATTTGTTAACTTCAATTAATTAACATGGAAATGCATAATTTAAGCATCAATTTATTTAAAAACTCGTGGTTCTCAAAGAGGAACTGACGCGATATCTTCAGCCCATCTCTCTACATTTCTGTGAACACTGGACCATCTTATATATTGTTCCAAAGAAAGAGATGTTCGTAGAGGGAATAATTTTAAATGCTTCCCAAGATTAAAACAAATTGTCATTTACATCCATGTTATTGTTACATATTATTTTGTTTACATAAAAATAATCATTACATATTCGTTAACTAACATGATTTCTTGTGTATCATTGTATTATTATTTATTTTTCTAAACATATCGGGTTGAAGTATACCAGTTTAGAAATAAACCATATTCTGTATTTTGTTTAATGAACAGTTAGAAAATTGATTTTTGTTTTCATTAATTTAATGTCGCTAATGCGCTCAACAACACGAAAACTAGCAACTCAAGGGTAAATATCAGACGGGAACACAAATTGGACATATAATAATCAATAATCAATAATAATACTTTTTTAATCAAAAAATTCTATTTACTTTGAAAGACTCAATGAATTTATTGCAGCTTGATGGTAAATAGGATTCAATTTAAAGTTCATGCGAAAATTTAAGTTAACCAAGTTTATGACTGAAACAGATGTCCATCTTGTGCTAGGGCCGAAAACATAGAATACTACAAATAAGAGCGGATGAAGACGGGGGTCTGGGTCTGACCTCTGAAAATTGTGAAGTAATTATGATTTCTTACTGTACGACAACATTTTATTCTTGCATTGGCATATTAAGCAACTTAATGCAGACGCTAAATACCAATAGACTATCCTTAATATATCAAAACCATAAACTTTAATATGAGCATGCGCATAACATATAAGACTATAAATCGTTTTTCCTAATATTTATAAAGTGTTTGTTTTGGAAAATGCTGCAAGATCATGCAATGAATCGGAAGGGATCTTAAAGCGTCAATGACTGACTCACGCAATGAATCGGAAGGGATCTTAAAGCGTCAATGACTGACTTACTGTAAGTTTACATTTATTAACTTTGACAACTTTCGTTTTCATTGATTGGTCATGTACCGTGGGAACTTTATAAAGTTACCGGATACACTTCTACATCAATTTTTCTCATATGTATCAAGTGTTTGTTTGGGAAAATGCTTTAAGATCATACAATGAATTGGAAGGGATCAAAAAGGGGCAATGACTGACTTACTATAAGTTTAAAATTATTAATTTTCACCACTTTCGTTTTCAGAAGTCATTTTAATGTGATACACTTATAATGGGCGTTATTTAAAAACATTGAAATGTGTTTTACTTTCCGTTTAAAAAGAAAGGTTTATGTGATTTATCTTCCTAAAAAGTTTATTAGTACAGTAAGTTAGTCATTTAATTTAGCGCACTAAAACTCAATTTGTGTAAATTGTTGTTAAACTTGTTCAGCTAACATGCATTGTAAAGTATTGAATTACTTTATAGACGTACCAAACTATATCTAGGTCAGTTTGAAGTATCACCGCTGCAAGTCGATAAACGTGTTACAATTTAAGTAGATATCTCGCCAAGTTTATTAAAGTTTGTAAATAGAATAATATTTTATTTTTATTGCTTTATTTGTTGACATGATTTCGTTGTGATAACAATATGACTATTTAAAGCATAAAACATGTATACTCCGCAACTACATGATATGATTATATGCGTCGTTTTACTATCATTCATTATGAAAAGCCGTATTTAGACATCACAAAGGAGGTCTTAAAAGTATTTTTTATCCGGAGAAATTGAATTTAAAGCTTTCTTTTTTAAAGCTTAACATAACAGTGTATGATGTAGACTAAATGTTGGTTTTAATTAATCATCTCCTTTAGACACACATCTAATTATTTATCAGACAATGTCCAAAGGTATGTTTGATTGATTTCATGTCGGTTTTAATATCAAACATCAAGACCTTGAACGTATTCTGAAGACAACTAAACCAATTTGATATCTTATTATAGCTGAATATTAATAATCAACAACTTTAACTTCTAAAAGACGGCACTTTATAAACATTGACTGTACATGTGGAACGTTCTACTCAAACTGTCTTTATGGGAGAGCTGTAATGCCTGCACATGTCTCGCTGCTGCAATATCTGGAATGCACACGATTGAGCGTTTCAATAATAATAATAATAATAATAATAATAATAATAATAATTAATGATAATAATTATAATAGTAATTAAAAATAATAATAATAAAAAAAAAATAATTATGATAATGATTTTATATAATTTTTATTATGGTGTATTTAGACATGGTTTACATCATTGCAGTGCTTTTGACTTTTGAAATTTTGAATGCATGTATTCATCTAAGATATCAGATCTGATGTATAATTGACCATGTCTTAAACAGTCATGTTAATCGTTTAACTTAACTTCATTTAACACACACAACGCGCGCGCGCGCACACACACACACACGCGCGCGCGCACGTACGTACGCACGCACACACATAATCTTTATCTAAAAGAATTGACATAATTATGTCTATGAAACAGGCATCTGTCAGTGTCACATCAATATATATCTTCACAAATAATTATCTAGATACAGGTCTTTATTGGGATTTGAATCCACATGTGGGAAGGGGGGGGGGGGTCTTAGGGGTAGAGAAGGACAAGTAATTTGAATAAGCAACCTGAAAACTATAGTTTTACAGCCTATGTTGACAAATGAATATCTTTAATTGAACGTTTAAATACAAGGTCTAGTTAATAAGATTCTAATGTTGTAACGTCTTTAACCTTTTTAGACGATTATCATTACTAGCACAAATGATGATTCGGCATGCGTCTGTAATTTAATTGATAAATTAACTATTGTGTTTGTTTCGTTACAATTACATCCAAAACCACATCCATTTGACCTATAGAGCTGTGTGAAAATATTATTTGAAAACAAACAATTTATGTTTTCTGCAAAAATGCATCACCGTGGGTATTATTTATCATTTGAAGTTGTTCTGAAGTTAGCTCATTCACTGTTGTTCCAACACAATGCTTATGGAAATAAGTGTCATAAAACATAGTAATGATAGTACTCATGCTTATACATTTATTGAGAAGACAAAAAATAATACTTGGGTTTTTCACTATCCCGCTACAGGAATATAGGGGACCTAATGAATAAATATGGATACGTGCGAAAGCAGATGCCTCCTATTAGCCCACAGCCTCCCTATATTTGTTTAGTAAGCGTGTATCAAAGGAATTATTTCCGAACTAACCTTCCTAGGTTACTGATTTTTGACCCTGATGAGAGGCGTGAGATGGGTTAGGTATTTTTTTAAAACTTTTTTAAAAGAACAATGTATGAAAAACATATTAAACAACCTCCCAATGAAACTTTGTGATAGATCAAAAGAATATGCACTTTTACGCATTTATATAACATGGAGGTACATCAATAAATAAAAATTCAAAATAACACACCTTTTAGTGTTTAAATTAACACGATGAAGGTTGACAAGAGAAATAATTTCTTGCAACATTTTTAAACACGTTAAAAAGTGGATATAAAAATGTACGTCTATGAAGAAATAAAAGTTATTTTGTTGAATGGCAACCATTCTGTTTGAAACCATTTGTACTGACCTACTAAAGAAAAAAGACGGTGACTATGTGACTGCCTTTATCAGATGAAAATGCAAGATGGTTCTTTAGGGTGAAATAATCTTTATTTAAGTGTGGCACAATACACCCATTTATATCGTCTTCTGGCGTAGAGGTCTGAGAAATATGTCATGATGTATAAGGGAAACATGTAAATAAAACTATGACAGCCATCATCGTCTGAGTGATTGAAAAAAATGGCCGATGGTCTTTCAACAGGTTGTACTTATGCATTCGTTTTTTTTTACATATATGGCAAAATCATAAAAACTACCATTATGATATCCAACTCCGGTTTATAATAAAAACCATAAGTATTGTTAATAAAGTGCGAACCTGGGCAATCATGGACAAGCTGAAAGTTCGTGTGTTGTGACGTTTGTGTTCAAAATAATTTAAGGTTAGTCTTATTTTTTATTTTATGTAAGATAACATGTTTCATTTTCAATATGTTGGCAGAGTGCATTCCTATCTAATTTCAGGTCATCATTCCAATGGTAATCACATAAAATGTTTCACAAGGATTCCAGGAAAAGGTGCAGAATTATTCCAACAGGTTTCACATGTAAAAGAAATACTGTCGGAATGTGAAATTACAGTCGGATGTGGCAATACTTTTCGGATATCTTTCGACATAACACAAATATTTGCACATACTGATTAGTTTGCTGTACCTTACCAATTCTAGCAAATAACAGCAATCATAATCGGAAAGATTTTGCAGCAAATGATACCTGGAAGTTTCATTGAATTTCAAATATTTCAAATATTGCAACAAATTTTCGATTCAAACACTTCTTTCTAATTGGTGACAATGAATAAATGAACAGTATTAGCCAGACTGTGATATGTTAATTTCCTAAGTATGCTACAATTTTTGATGATGTTGAAACAATAGAAATATTCAACTAATGATACACTGATAATATAGATGTGATTGTTTATATTGTAGATAATCAATTGATAAAATTTTTTCACCAGATATAAATTGGTCAAATATATATTTTGCAACATATTCATTAATTGAATTTATTTAGTACAAGATCTGTTTAAATTCGAAAAATGGAAGTCTCTGGCAAAAAAGCGTTAAAAGACGAAAATATTGAACACTGCAGTTTCTGTAAAGATTATGACATAACAACGTATGCTGATGGGTTCTGCTTGGAATGCGAAGTCTACATTTGTGATGCATGTTTTGTAAAACATAAAGGACGAAGAGTTAATAGAAATCATTCTCTAGTTAATGTTGAGGATTCAAATTCAGTCAGAACACACGTTGATGATACATATGATACATGTCAACATCACAATGGAGAACTTGTGAAATTTTATTGCTCAAAGCACGACCAAGTTTGCTGTGGAGATTGTACAGTATCAAACCACTATGGATGCAAGATGGAGTTCATCAGCAACAAAGCTGTTATCTTTGAAAATAGTCAGGATTGCAAAAATCTAAGAGAGGGGTTGAACAAGTGCAAGACACAGGCTGAATATAGTGTGTCATTGATAGCAACAAACAGACAACAGCTTTCCGACTTCTATGCAAAATTTGTCCGGGACGTGGAGACATTCGCAGAAGAAGTGATAGAGCGTATAAACTCGATGAAGAAAAACATTCAAAATCAAGGCAAAGACTTGATGTTGAATGACAAGAGAAAAATGGATGATATTCAGAAGGAGACCGAAGACTTGATAGCTGAATTATCACACCTCATCAGCCTACTAGATTCTAAAAAAGATCAACCTAACAAGCTGTTTGTAACTTCACTACTGGTAAAGCCGGAATTAAAAAGGGCGCAACATAATATTAGTATTATAAGGGAAAAAAATACAGTGAATTTGTAAGCTCTTTAATGATACATATAAGAGTAAAATTCAATACGTAGACACAACATAAAAATATGTCAATATTTATCAATTCGAAAAACAGGTTATTTTGTTACATTTTATATGCAATTATGTTTGCGTTGGTTTTGAAGTAATTGTTGAACTCCATCGATCACATTCACATATATTTGATAACTGTTTAAATTCATGACACTCAGGACTTACCTGATCATGAAATATAACAAGATGTACTGTTAATTTAATTAACAATTGCCTCTGATTTACAGAAAATATATTCAGTTATATTTTTGCAGGTAATCTAATACAATGTGAATTCAAAAAAACCAGTTCTGCTGGTAAAGCCAAGGTTAAGGATCTGTCATCAAATGTAAGTTAAGGGTGTTTCGTTAATTAAATAACTTCTTTCTAAACTTTCTCCATTTTGTACATTACTTTTTCAACAATTAATCTTCCTTTGACATACTATGTTACAGAACTACTGTCATCAAGTGACATCAAGCGTAATAATTTATTTCCCTTTTTTACTCTTCTGTGCCTTATTCTGATTCTTCAAGACACTTGAGTCTAACTTAATTATTACGGTGCGTCATCATCAAATGTGATTTTAACTACTTTTACATAATTCAATGTGACTCTTCTATATAAAGATTATTTTAGATTTCTATAATATAATGCAATAAACTAGTAAATAATCCCTACTAGGAAACAACAATCGATATTTAACTTATTTTACTAATTCAAACCACTGTCAGAATAAAATGTTATGATATTGTATATGATTGATCTACAAGTGACTCAAACAATGTACGTGTCTTTATGATCTGTCTGGAAATTCTGTTAAAGTGTAAGACGAAAATTTAAGTCTACATTCACGAATTTCAAGTGAGTGCGCGTACATTTTGGTCTTTCGAATATAGAAATAAGATGTCATTTACATTTTTGCGCACCGGTCTTTATCTTTTCTTTCATTTACGAGGGAACGAGTTAAAATTGACACCGTTGAGACGGCGAACGAAAGCCGAAAAAATAATTCAGCAGTAAACTGCTTTAATCTTTCTTGCAAGATTTGAATGGTTATCGCATTTGCGCACGCTTCCTTCCGTTTTTGATGCGAAAGTTGAAACTAGTGATAAGTTTTAGCTCACGATAATTACGTTCGAAGAAAGGAAATGTGAAGTTTTCAAACGGAGCTGAGTAGTTTAAATAAAATAAAATAAATTTGATATAGTTGTATGAATAGTCACACTTCAACCAACAACAGAATTATGTTGTTTCACTATAGTTCTTGTATATGTTTTCTACATGTCCGTCGATTGCAGGACATAACTTCTTATGTCTTGTAGATGATATATGATAGATTTGTTTTGTTAACTTGTATACGCACGTAGGTCGTAGAAGAATCAAATTTAAGATGCAGCTATCTTAAAAAAAAGTTACTATATTGCTCTATTTCTCTTAAAAATCAATATTAGATCAAGATAAAATATCAACTATAATTATATAGATCTACTTTATGTTAAAATTCAAAAAGTTTTATTTCAATCATGGTTTTTATTGGTAATTACTTTTGCTAGTGACATTGCACTACATTGATTTTTGTGCTTTTATTTCTCATATTAATGAGGACATTAAAATGTTAATCAATTAGTAAAGTAATAAGCAAATCGTTTTTAGAATAACTGAGGCCAAGACATGATAATTGTGAGAAATCCCTTATTGAGGTCAGTAAAGGCGTGGCCATTTATAGTTTGAAGGAATTACAACACAAGGTCTAAAAATGGTAGAAATGATTTATTTCAAAATATCTACATGTATTATAATATTCTCTTTATGGCACAGTACATTTTCCGACCTTTTACAAGTAGTATATAAGACCCAATATTCAATCAAAATAGCATCTTTTCAAATCATATAATGAAATTCTTTACAATAGTTCCCGAAATTGTTTGATTTTCTCACTAAATTTTAACTGTTTGGAAGTGGGTTACAAGAAATTACATGTTCGTGATCGTACTCCTGCTAAGATTAAAGTCCTGTTTAGGTATTTTATTTTCTTAAAATCACTGCAAAAGGCATTGTAAAAACAATCTGGACAGAAAGTGTTCCCTTTTAAGTAGTAATCGCACAACAAATTATATGCGATCGGTTGATTTAATTGTACGATTTCAGGGATACATGAAAAACTGAACAATCCTTCTCCCGCACTCCCTTTCAACGAGCGGCTACTCAAATTTCACACATCCTTAAAGTCGTTGGCAATCAATTATCACCAACGCATAACAATGAGTAGGTCGGGGCAAATTTTAAGCTGCACACAGCATTTGACACCTGCTGTAAGACATCAGATAGTTTTGTGTTAAAACAAAAGCTTTCCCAAGTTCAAATTGCGTGAATTCGTGTGACAGTTAAGTACAATACCACAAATTGACAAATCGTCCTGTGCAATCAAAAGTGATTACAGTTGCAAGAACCTGTTTCGCAATCAAGCTAACATAAAGAAACAAACACACACAAAAAACATAAACGAAAACATCAACAACAAATAAAATCATGTTACAATGTTGATTGATTGTGATTTGCTGCTTTCTGGGTGCTCTCCTGATATGCTTTGATTGCGTTAGGGCTGCATTCTGTGAACGTCGCTTTTTCCCTGTTGATCTTTGTTCAAATTTATTTTTATACTGGATACTACTGAATATTTATTCTGGATACTACTGGGATTGTTTAATGATATGTAGCACCCTCATTAACCTGACGATTAAGGCAAAGATATATACTCGTATTTTAAATAATTTAGTTGTTGGTACAGTTTCAGGACTTTGGGAGAGCAGAAAAATATGGTATGTTCTATTGTTTATTAAATGATATTTATCATCGATGTGAATGAAAAATGTTAGTATAATAATTTGATAAATTTTTATGATAATTAAAAAGTTATGTAAAGATTTAAATTCTAAAACACAATTTCCGTGTGAATATAGATCATATTTGCTTTTTACCCTTATTATTTTCCTTTAAAAATATTGATATACAAAGATGAACGTAAACATAAATGTAGAAATGCAAGAATATATAAATTATTAAAATATACCACTCCCAGATATATGGGTAAGTTTCCATTCAAAAGGAAATTAATGTAAACATTAAAGCAGATTCACCATTTGTTATGTAGACCCATGTAATTGCAATTTTCTTGTGCCATGTTATAATGAATGATTTGACACAAACTCGTAAACCTCCTCGCTATTTCCCTTACAGGACCACACCCAGCTCAAAAAAGCACCAGACAAAATCCCTTTCTAATGTGACTGCTGACTCGACTTCCGACAATCAACACAGATGTGCACTAAACTCCTTTGGCGACACTTCTTTGTCTGTCTCAAATCAGTTTAATACACCAATAAAAGACAAATGCGCAAGCGATACTACCCTCCATGACACAACCGCATCATTTACTGTTTCATCCATTGGCAACCACAGGCAAGTAGTGCAAAGCTGACTTTTAACACACAGTAACGCGATCTCGCTAAGGTAAGTCTCCTTCGCCGGCAAGGATCGGGACGAGATACCACTTGAAGCACCAGCCCACTCCTCCCGTACTAAATCTAAGTAGGACGATGGTGTGATGAGGTTACCGGTACGCCTCTAGGTCATGAATGTTTGCAAATATATTTGATGCAAAGGAAGGTTTTAGTATATGCTGTGAACTATGATGACGGAATGAAAATCAAACATCTCATTGGTGTTAAGACAGGAGAGATCAAAACAACAGGAAAAGGGAGACGAGGAGGGAAAGCAACTTCTGAAAAAGATGACAGACATGTTGATACTCCTGGATCATAAGGAGATGAAAGCAAAAGTCGAGGTTTTAATAGTTTAGTTTAATTTATTTCAAAGTACATTTGGGCAATATGCACATGCATATACAGTGCATAATTATAACAAAGAATACAATACACATCAATGGTCAATGTACTTCTTTAGAAAACAATAATATCATTAAGTCACACACGGTGAATTTTTTAGCAAAAAAAAAAAACGTTAAACTAACAATAGAATATACTATCACTTAGTGACACAAGTATCAACATGTCTCAATTTATATTACTGGTAAATAAATACTAAGGAAAGATACCATCCTATTTATAAGGAAGTAAATCACAAAACAAAACAAAAAATAAGTGTTTGTAAGAAACAGTGATACAGCGTTTGGGACAAACTTTTGATTAACTTTAAAGAATAGTGTTTCGAACATCAAAAGCTTTAAATGTATACATTAATTAGTTTCTAATTTCTATTTCATTTTCTGAATTCATCTATGTAACAAATTAGGTATATTTGGACTTTTCCAAAAGTGTTTTTAATATATTTTTCATAATTCATTATATAGAAAACATTCTAAAATAAAGTTAAATTCAAATAAAACAATTTTTCATCAATAGGTAAAGCACAAGGTTTATTCCACCTGCCAGTTTCAATTTTCAATTTCAATTTTTTAATATGTATTAAGGGAATCTGCAGAAATCATTAAACACTTTGGCTAAACAGTTTGAAAAAAGAACTTACATTCAATTCAGTCGAATTTAATGTGGATAGATCTTCAATAGACATGTTTTATAGACGTTTGTCAAATATTATTGATTTAAAAGTTAAAACTGTACATTTGGACATTCTTATTAAATGTTGCTGGGAAAAAATGATAAATTCTAGGTGATTTGGAAAAACTTTTATATGATTTATATGATTATTTGACAACAACTTCTAAGTATCGTTTTTTCATTGTTTGCAGTTATGTCTAACAATAGATAATACAACGTGATTATGATCAACTAATCGTATTACATACTTTCCATTTTAGACCAAATTACTATAGAGATATTCCAAGTATTTCTTTGCAAATGCTTCACCTTATTCAATATAGAAAACAAAGCTTTTCCATCAGTTTACATTTTACTTCAAAACCTGATAATTTTGCAACAATAAAAGGCTAACAATAA